GTCTAACAAGGAATCGGGACTAGGAAGCCTTTAGGCTCCGTTTTGGAGTTTACACCCCAAGAACGTTCTGTGACATCCCCAAAATCTCGGCCAGAAAAGACCGATTTCATTTATGCTTTTTAAAATAATTTTCAGAGTAAATCCTTTTAATTTTAAAAGAGATGCGGAATTTGTTCCCAAAAACAAAACATGATAAAATAGATATTTATCAAAACATTTCATAAAGAAATATGATTTCATTTCATAATCAAAAGACGGGATGTCATGTTCCGATACAGATCATAAAGCATAAACGATAGCATTACAAGTCATTCAACAAATATATACATATACAGACTTGTAAACAAAACAACTTGATGTTCGCCCATCTTAAGCTCTTGCGCCACTTCCTGTAAAATAAATCAACTGAGTGGGTCAGGCTTGGGAGCCTGGTGAGCATATAGGGTTTTCAACCCACAATAATTATATTTAATTTCAACCATCAACAATAAACCCGATTACCCATTCCCGTTATCCTCACCTTACGTTCCTAAAAATAACGTCTATTATAAGGAACCTATTTCAGGATTTTTCATCGGGATGGACATTACTGCAGAGGGGCTTCCTCAACAATAAGTATCCTATAGGCAACCATGTGGGGGATAGAGTACACCGGTGAACACGTCGTTCACAACACCTACAGGTAATGAGCCTGCTAGTGTTCCACAGGACAGTCTAGAATAGTCCGTGGTCGTCATCCATACTCTGCTGAATGACTAGAATAACACCAATAACACCAATAACACCGAGGCCTCTCATCTGTTTATTACACACCAATTACCTACCCATGTTCTACCCAACATATTAGTAGATAAAAATATACGTTTTTATACATAGTTTAAAAACCTGTATAACATGTTTTAATCAACACATATTCCACATAACAGATGAGGCATACACACATAACACGTATTTCATAGAGAATACATCAGATCTGTAAGATAGAAGAGAGTGAATATACACTCACACGTATAACAACCAAATATATACACATAACACGTATTTTATAGAAAATACTTCATAATATTGTGTTGGAATGAAAATAACTACACACTCACTTGATCAAAAGATGATCGGGCAGCACTACGGCTTGTAGAAGAGGTGTTTCTCCGTAGATCTGGAAGATCTTCACAAAACCGGGCTCCTCGCGGGCAGCGTTTCGGCTCGGGAATAACGCTCTTCGGGATCCTCGGGGCTTCGGATCTTACTTCGAGGCTCGGGAATATTACCGGGGCTTTGGGGTATGATTGGCACGCAAATCGAGGCAAAACTTTGAGAGAGATAAGAGTTTGAACAAGAGAAAATGGCTGAATTCGAGTTCTATTTATAGGCTGCTGGGTCTGGGATTACGCGGGGCGTACTCAAATTACGCGGGGCGTACTTTGACGTCACTGCGTGCGTCGACTGGTGGCACTCGAGTATTGGTCAGACAAGTTGCAACCGACTGAGTACGCGGGGCGTACTCAAATTACGCGGGGCGTAATTGACTTGTCAAACTTCTAAATTGCGTAACTTTCGCATACGAGCTCCGTTTTCGACGTTCTTTATATCCACGCGAAGGTCAGACCATACTCTACAACTTTCATTTAGACTCCGTCGGCTAATTTTGACTTTTATTTTTATTATTTATTTTTAGAAGGCCGGGACAGAAAAACTTCGTTATAAATTCATAACTTCTTCGTCTGACGTCCGTTCTTGCCTAACTTTTCATCGTTTCGCTACTAACAACAAGATCTTCGATTCTCATTTAGATTGTTTCGGCTAAAAACCGTTCGATCTCAAATCGAGTATTCGGGCTGTATACTGCTAAGTCGAAACTTCATAAAATCATAACTTCCTCATACGAAGTCAGATTTGGGCGTTCCTTTTATGCACGCTCACGGTTTAACGAAATCTACGACTTTCATTTAGATCGCTAAGGCTAAATATCGCTCTATCTTAAATTCATATTTTACGTCACTCGG